GGGTCACAAAGAATATTTTCAACAGCCTGTTGCAAAACTTTATCAACAACTATCTTCGCTATGTACTGAAGATCAGATGGCCGGGAAGAATCACCAACAAGAAACTATGGGAACAAACAAAACAAGAACCAATCAACCAACAAATATGCAGGAGAAAGTGGAGATGGATTGGACACTCGCCAAGCTGAGGAGGCCGCTGGGTGACATCGTGCGTTAGGCCAGTGCTCGAGTGGAACCCGAAAGGGAAGTGGCGAGTGGGACGTCCAAACGTGACATGGAGGAGATCGTGTGAAGAAGAGTTGAAAGAGTATGGACTAACATGGATGCAGGTGAAAAGAACAGCAGAAGACAGAAGCAAGTGGAGACGTGCAGTTGAAGCCCTATGTTCCACTAGGAACTCAAGGGAACAATAATAATAATAATTTATGCACGTGATTGTCTAGTAAGTTATACGATATTAAACGAAAGGATTACAAAGGATGTCTTTACACTACACCTTTCAAACACAATATTAGAAAGTGTAGATTCGAAAGAGAATAAAAGATCCACTGGATATTTGAAATTTAATTCCCTTTCATATTCTCTATAAGATATGTGATAATACATTTTCTTGAATTCTTCTATATGATGGATATTTAACATAGGTGAGTATCAACGGAAGTCCATTAGGCCATAAAGAAAAAATATACGTGGCAAGCAAAGTTTAGTCTTAACAATACCACTAACTACAGTTGGAGCTTCTTAAGAAGAACTAACCTGGCGTTTCAGTCACTAATTGTCAATTAGACCACCTTAATGAAAGCCAATTGAAACATTTCAAATAACCAAAAAAAATTCAGTTTCATAACAGTAAATAAACTTGTAGATACATAATGAGCTGAAGTGAAGCAAAAAGTAAATTATAACGAATTAGAATACAAATTATACGCCAGAACTGGTAGTTTATAACACAACAAAAAAGGAATTTTCTTTCCAGGCGAATAAACGGTCGACTTGTCTAAATGTTTTGGGTGATATAACGACTAGAAGTTACATCAGAAATTGGGATTCCCTCAAAATGGATAGGCTTGCGATGGCTAGCTGTGCAAGTGGTCCGGGATTCAATCCCCAGCCGACACATAACTTTACTTCGCTTAGCCGCCAATAAGCCAGGTAAAGAGGGAAGGTTGAACATGAGGCTAGGAATCCCATCCCGTAAGCAAACACCACGGCCACTGAAACTTTGTGGCTCCAGCTTAAAGCCATATCTTCCACCGGGAACGAAAAGGAACAAAATTTTTAAAAAAGGCGATGTGGTGGATGTCAGAGGAACTTTCACTAACAACTGCACCTCATGACAGTGCAAAAACACCGAGTATATATTCTTTTCTATCATTGGATCTCTCAACAGTGTGTCTGCACCATCCACATGGTGCTGACTTTAGAACCGTCTAGTATTGATGATAGACACATTGTCACTTTGATTGGACACTAGTAACTAGTGCGACGTGTCTAGTCCTTCATTTTCGTGCATACTGAATACTATCAGTCAGGTTTTTGCACCGTGATGGTGAGCTTCCTAGAATGGTGGTCACATTGCAAACTGACTGAACCAAGGAAAGGACTAGACAAATCACACTAGTTACTAGTGTCCAATCAAAATACCCATTACAGTCCTACAAGGAGGTCAATCGCGAGCCCGAATAGCTCTGTGATAACGTCTCTGACTGTAGCACTGGGTGACGCAGGTTCGAATCTCAGAAGGAGAGACATGAGTTCCTTCAAGGTTGCAGATACGCCTTGCTGATGACTGCAAACTAGCACGAAACCTAGGTCCAAGGCTTCCTGTGGCCGATTGCCTCCAACTATCTAATATCATCACATTATCACTTTATTTGTTGCAAACCTTTTGCTTATTCCACGAATATCACCCATTTCACCCTAACACCTGAGTGAACAAATTTTACTGCTCACATATGTTCATAACAACCTAAATAAATCACCCTCAATACTATATTTTATATTAACCTATAGAAATCTTGAATACAGTTCATCAGGCGGTCTAGTGGATAACGCTTTGGAGTTCGAAACGATGGGTACTGAGTTCCAGTCCCATGGGGAACACCATCACTCACTGGGGAATGCAGATACATCCAGATGACGAGTCCCAAATACGACGAAATATGCATCGTGGATTCCACTGCTAGTCACCATCCACCAAATTACAGTTCATCTTCAGTCAACCTCACAATTTAGTCAAACTACAATTAGGCTGACTCATATATTTCGCAAAACTTTATTTCTCACTAAGTTTCTAATTATTCTGTACACTTTTAATTTGACATCACAGTATCACTCATAATACTACCGTTTTCATTGTTTATTTTAGATTTTATTGTGACAACAGTGTGAAGACGGAATCATTTCATTTTAGCGTTAGTCATTCTAAATGTCAGTTGAACGATTTATATATAGCGTTACTACTGATAAATAAAGCCCAAAAATAGCATAACATAGTACACTGGCCAAATATAATCGGATGATAATAATAATAATGATAGTGATACAGTCACAGTTATTATGAAACTCTATGATAGTCCTTGAAGTTTTACATTTCATCTTAACAATAACATGAATAAATAGACTAAACACTTTATAGTCACACTGTTCACAGGCGTTGCCTAGTTATCGTTTACATTGAAATTTGAACAAATATTCCAATGTATATGTGTGTGTGTGAAAAAAATACAAACAGTGGGTGAATTTAAATATCAACAGAGGGCTTATAACTTCAACATTTTAGCGTTTTACTATACAATATATTATATAACAAAGTGTGAATAATGGCACTTAATAAATAAATTAAATTAAATATAATATCAGTTAGAGGACAATTGGAAAACCTGCAGGGAGTACTGGAAGGCTGTTTCGTCCTAGTTTGGGACTCTTCACAGTATGCGCCCACCAGGACCTTCTGGTTACAAGGAGAGCTCGTAGACCATTAAGCCACTGGGACATGATCCAATAGCCAGCCCATGAATTCCAACTTCTAGTGGGAAGTCG